TACTAGATCGGACTCGTAGTGATTCTGTTTACAGCCTCCCAAGAGCTGGGATTACAGGCATGTGCCACTATGCCCAGTCTCAATTACCCTCACAGTGTGCCCCAAGGGTGGGGCCGGCACAGCAAGCCCAGGGATAGAACCGCCAGTCTGCAGAAGCTTTGAAGAGAGAAAGCTGCGAGTCACATGTTTGGTAGCTCTTCTGCTCAGCTTAGTGAAGGTATAGCATGTCCAGAAGTCCAGGCTCCATGTGCCGGGTCCCGTGGGCTGAGCAGACGCAATGTGGCTTTCCTTACTCTGCTTCCTGCTCCTGCACCTAAGCTGCTGCAGCTGAGTCAAAGGAACCGCTGCCAGCTCCACCTGTCCCCTGGGCTGGGTTGCAGAATCGCAGTCTTTTTCATCACCCACCTCTTCTTTACAGAGCAGGGCAATTACTGGGTGATCTACGAGTTGCTCCTTTCTAAAGGTGACTTTTAGTGTTGTTTTCTTCTGTACTATGGAAAAATTTCCCTCTGACTTAGTGCCTATTCTAAAATAATGCTTTGGCATCTGTATCTTTCCCTTTGTCCCCCTGAGCATTTATGTTCTTTTTCACTTGACTGATTTCTAAAAATACAGTATGCTTACTCAGATATTTTATCTTTATGCTCTGAAAAATGCTGTCGAATTCGACACAAAGTGACCTAATATCCCATCTGCCAAAATCACTCACAGAACTGCTCGGAGGGAAGGTCACAGAACAGCTTGGATAATCTTGTTTTAAGTGTTGCATTCATTTCTTGCAGGTTGCTAATTTGAGATCAGCAGTAATTCACTTACCACATATTTATTGGGGACACAGTGCTGGCTGCATGCTGGAAGAGGAAGCTGCTGGCAGCAAGCTAGACAGGTCCCTGCTCTCGGCGGGGTGAGAGCGCAGCACGGATGTAAATAGATGAGGGCAGCTTCACATAACGGCAGTCACTGTAGAGACAGAAAGTAGGACAGCGACGAGCTTGAAGGCCTGGGTGGAGAGCTGCTTTAAACTGGGTGGTCAGGAAGAGCCTTGTGGGGAGGCGACATTCATGTTGTGACCTGGGTAACCAGCAGGAGGCAGCTGGGGGAAAGATGGAATGACCTAGGCAGGGAACAGGCAGGTGTAGCAGGAAGGAACAAGCTTGGCGGGCTGAATGATAGGAGATGAGGCCGGAGAGCTGAGAAGGAACCATTGTCCGGGCCGGGCAGGAATTTGGATCCATTCCCCAGCACACAGGGAAGCCACTGGAAGGTTTTCACTGGGAGGTGATGTAGGTCTCAGCAGACTCACTCTGGACTCTGGCTGCTGTGTGGGAAGGACTAGAGAGGTGTAGGCACGGGGGAGGGGGCGGGGGTTGGGACTGGTATAAGGCCAGAGGGTGGCAGCTGGCAGGGAAGTAAAAGGAAGCATCGAGGATGGTGGTGGTAGAATGTGTTCTGGGTGCAGAATTGGCAAGACTTTGCTGAGGAATTAATCAGCTTGTGAGGGAAAGAAGGACTGAGGATGAAGGCGTGGTTTCATCTCAGCAGGTTGGTGTATAGTACTGCTATTTGTGCTTAGGAGAAGCTGGAGGAGAGCCGGGGTCCAGTTCTTCCGGCCCGCAGCAGCCTGAAGCACCACACATGTATTTCAGCATAATTGGCCTCCATATCTCTGTGTTCCATATCCGTGGATTAAACCAACCATGAATTGAAAATAATTTGAAAAACTGTGTAGTGAATAAAAGATTGCATCTACTGAACAGGTGCAGACTTTTTCTTCTTATCATTATTCTCCAAAAAAAAAAAAATACAAGATAACAGCTGTTTATTCAACATGAACACTATGTTAGGTATAAGCAATCTAGAAATAATCAACATATATTGAAAGAGATGCAGAGGTTCTGTGAAAATACCAGGCCACTCTGTCAAAGGGACTTGAGCATCTATAAAGGCTGGCATCCTCAGGGGGGTGCTAGAGCCTCTGCAGATAACAAGCATGTTGCGGCCACGTGAGCCCCAGTTCAAGATGGCTGTTCTCCACATTCTTTGGCATTTCTTCTGCTCGTCCGCCTGCTGATGTGCCATCACTGTATCTAAAGATAAAGTGATGAGGGATCCCTCCATGAGGGATGCCAGCACTGGAGTAACCGAGGTCAGTTTATAATCTGGGTAGCGACATCTGCATCAGGAAGAGATACTCCCCAGTGTGGTCTGCAGGTGAAGGCGTCGAGTCCAGCCACAGAGTGCATGCAGATGATTTATTGCGTGGGTTATTAGGACTGGAAAATAATCTCAGTGGTGCATGGCAGGGTCTTTTCTGTGGGCTTGGTCTTAATATGTTCGTGTTTTCAATGCAGTGCATTCTGGGCAGTAAGCATTTCGTGCCAGTTTCCTCTTAGTTAATACTTTGTGACCAGCCTCAGCTGTAGTAAATCAGCTGCAAATACAGCCTGATCACAGAAGCAACAATGGTATATCAATCCAGTTTTTACAAGCATATTTCTTCAAACATTTATCTGTTAGGGAGGTTTTTGACTTCTATATTTGTAACAACTGCTGGGCTGGGGAGATAACTCGGCAGTCTAGGTGCCTGCCTGGCAAGTGCAAGGTCCCAAGTTCAATCCCCAGTACTATGTGCTGTGCTGGCCCCGGGAATCCAGGCATGCCATGCTGGCTACTGAAACTGGGCATGATGGTACATGCCTGTAATCCCAGCACTGGGAAGGCTGAGACAGGAGGATCTCTACAAGTCCAAGCTGCATAGTGGAGACCCACCAAATAAATAAATAAATACATGCTGATGTAGGCTTTGTAACAAACTACAACTAGGTGCTCACAGAGGGCCCTGGGTAAGCAGAACCTGAGGCACACTGATGTGACTTGTGGCCCTTGGGTAATGCTGCCAGTAGCACTTTCTGATCTCCTGACTGAATTCACTTTCTTGAACACACAGGAAAGACACTTACAATCAAATCAGGCCATCAAATTAAGTAATGCTTTTTACTTGTTTTCTTTCAGCTGACAGATATCTCCTCTAATAGGAAACCCAAATGCCTGTAGGTATACTTTTTTATACTTGGGCCGTTTGATAATGTTTGTATTATATGTTTTCATGTTGCATTTTGTGTATCTGTTGTGTAGATAGATTTGAGACACTCAGGTAAAAATCTACCTGCCTGTGTATCTAACTGTAAGACAGTGATGTGACTTTGAAATGTAAGTCTCTTAGTACATGGGACCATGATAGTGCTAGGGTAGCATTCTACAGTATTATCTCGTGAACTTTCTCTTAGGGGTACCGTATGGCCATAGCAGTGCCATGCACTATCAGTGTACTAGGCCTGCTACATTACTTGTGTAAAAGGTACACTTTATAACACATACCCAGTGGAGTTTTCTGAGACCCTAGTAGAGACTCACAGAGACAGAGACATGGGTTTTGGCTCCATCCTCCCCAAAGACCAACTATGTGTGCTGTTCTGGGGGGTAAAAGTCATTTAATCTTTCTGTGCATTGTATGTTACTAGGGATAGGACTCCTAGTACTGCCTGGGAATTAGTGTCCTGGGATCATTTCCTAGGAGTGACAGGAACTTTTTGGAAGAGATAGGCCAGCATCTGTGATTTGTGTCAGAGGGAGCGTGGTCCCCACTACAGCATGCAGAAGGGATTGCAGACAGGAAGTGATTCTTTCTCAGGGGCTAAAAGAGCTTTCTTACCACCTGCCTTTTCTCCCCTCCCGCCCAACCTCTAGGAGCCGAGGGCATCCACATTCTGCGCATAGCCACCCTGAGCTCAAGGCCCATTTCCACCCCAAGGGAAGGAGCTACCTGAAGAAAGCCAAGGATGACAGAGCCTGCATGCCGCCGGCCAAGTCTGCACATGAGCAGGCCGAGTCCTCACGGGACCTCTGCAGAGCACCCAAGAAGGGGGAGCTCCTGGGGCTGAGCCGGAAGGGCAACATCAGGCCCAAGATGGCCAAGAAAAAGCCAACTGCAATTGTGCACATCATCTGAAAGGATAGATGGACCTGGACTCCCCCAGTTGTTCCAGGGCTGGGAATGCTATCCTTTTGGATGCTTTTGGCAGGAAGATGTATTGGGAAAACAGAAGGCATCATACACTCAAGGGTCTTGGTTAACCAGAATGTAAAAAGGGAATCTCAGTACACCAGAAGCTTATTGTCACCCTGCTTCCCTTTGAAAGCAAGAGGCAGATTGCAGAAACAATTTTTAAAAATTGAAGCAATTGAACCCAAAAGCTTTAGTAAAACATACTTCAACCTCGAAAGTTCTTGGTCTGGTCTATACTCCGCCTGGCTTCTGGGCATCTGTGCTGTGGTCAGCACCGCTCATGGCCTGGGACACGGGCCATCAGACCCTGGGAGAAATGTCTGCCCGCCGCTAAGTTGTAAGGCGGGCAACGGATGCAGAAGGGGCTAGTACAAGAAGTGAAATAAAAATATTTTTGTTGGCATTTAGCTTTTCCCTCAGTTAATTTGAAGGCCTTTGAAATGAGAATTCCTTTCCCCTCAGTGTTCTGGTTAATCAAGATTTTAATGGTTGAGGTGCCAGTGGGACTTGTTCAGTCAGAATTTGGTTTCCATTCTGGAAGATTGCTTTTCAGTTCATTTGTTTGATTCAGGATTTTCTGTGTCCTTAAATGCACATTTATGCAGATTTTGATAGACTCTGCTATCTTCAGAGGTTAGGTATTCTGCACCTTCCAGCAGTGGATCATGAAGCCCTTTGATGGGCCCGTGGCGTTGTTGCTGTGTCTAGTGCTCAGGGTAGATGGCGCTCTTAGGGCTCTGCTACCATCCGGAGGTGCTGTAGACAGCACCTGCCCTCTCCTAAGACCTGCTTTCCTGATAATGTTAACAGCTTGCTCCTTGAATCGTGGGCATGGCTCTTCTTCACTAGCATAACGTCATATCCTGCTGCTTCTGTGTCCTTTAATGAGTGAACCTACTTTCTGACCTTTCAACCAACTATCAGGTGTGGTCACTGCACAGCGCATTCTGAAATGATTTCAGAAACAATGGTGCATGTAGGGCTCACAGTCCGACGGCCCTCCCTGAAATGCCTTTTGTTTCTATGAAGAAATATCTTTTAACAATCTCCCACTTCAAAATTTTCTTCTAGATTGAATTCTCATGTATTTTTCATTACATTTAGCAATATTATCAGGTCTCTTGCAGAGTTTACAAGTGCTGACACCCCTCTAGAGACAAGATAATTTTGTCCACAAATATATATATATATATATATACACACATAATATACATATATATAATGCATACAAATATATAAGTCAAGTATATTAATAATTTATTTTTAAATACTCATGGAGAAAGTGTATTTGTGGCGGGTGCTCTTAAAACTACATTAAGCTTAGTGGTTTTTTTGGCAGCACATATACTAAAATTAAACTATGTAAGTTTATTCATGTAAATCGAATTCTCTATTTTAAAAATTTGTAACCTAATTAACGTTAGTTGAATTACTGTTATTGACATAAGCATCATATTAAGAGTACATTAAAATAGGCAACAAAGCAGTTACTTAAAATGCCAGTAAACTGAAAAGTGTAACTTACCATTTTTCAAACATTTTAACTTACTTAGCAGAAATGTTGAGTTTTGAATGCTCACTTCGACCTTTGGCTTGTGGGAGGGGTGCTCCTGTGGCGTGCAGGCTGCTACCGCGTGGGTAAAAGCACTGCTGTGAATATCATGTTGCTGTTTAGGCTAATGTTGTAAAAATTGTAATGTTTATTTATTTGGAAAATTAATCTCCTCCAAAGGTAATTTATTGTTATTGATGCTTATACCCTTATTGCATTTTTTCCTTTTTCATACTAAAAAATAATGACTTACTTGGCTATTTGCATGCTCTTTGTCCCGCAGTGTGTGTGCAGATGACAACTTGTTTTTAAAGATGGCACAGCTAGATTTTCTTTTCTGTTTTATTTAGAGTAACTTGCAGTTTTGGTGTTCCTTTAACACGCCTAGAGGGTGTGGCAGCCCTCTCTGACGGGGTACCCAGTGATCTTCAGAAAGCTCCATAATGTCATAACTTCTCTGTATACATTACACAAGACAAATAGCCTTCAAATTTACTTATGAAACGTTTTCTTTTGAAGTTCTGGTTAATCTCTTAGCCCCGTACAAAGCAATATCTTAAGTACATTGCGCTTCCTTCAAGACACAAACGTACTGTCCAAAATGGAAGCTGACAGGCCTGGAGAGAGAAGTCCCCTCTGCACCACGGCCGGGACGTGCCAGGTCCTACACAGGTCCTGTTGTGAAGTATTCTCCTCGTCCACGTGGGCAGTCAGCCTTGGAGGTGAGGCTGTTGCTATTTTAAAGAAATCGCCAAAGTTTATGGGAAAACATGTTTGACGCTAAACTGAAACATAGATCAAATTTTATTACTTGTTTTGTAAGGAAGAAATCTTCGTTTGGATGGTTCTTTTTCCTTTCTTCTCAAACTAAATAACAGTTTTTATCTAAAAGTTCAGATTGCTTAGACACTGTTTTCCAGTATTCTGCAGGGTCAGTTACTTGTATAGAAGTTGAAATATTCTCTTCCCAAGATTAAAAAAGTTTTTAGATTAACGAGATACTGTTAATAAAGCTATATTTCTGACTAATGTGCTGGTATTTTTTTGTCGCATTAGAGTGTTTGGGGAAGCCAAGTTTATTGGTTCAGTAAGCGTGAACAGACTGTTCCTACGTGGGCCAGTGTCTGTTGGGTGTCTGACCTCTGTGACCTTGCACAGCTGTAAACTAACTTGACACCTTAGTGTGATTGTTTTTGTTCATCCTCGTGGCTGTATCTAAAAGTTCTTTGTATACAAGTTCACTCCAAGATGTCCTCATGAAAAGCCCACTCAGAAGGTTTTCTCATTTTGTTCCACAGCTCTGAGTAATTTTCCTATGCTGTGTTTTAAAACTTGTCAATTCGTGGAATGATGAACAGATTTCACAGCACCGGCCCCAAATTTATATCAGCTGTCATCTTGGTCATTGCAGAGCTTGGAGATTGGTTACAGGAACCCAGGCACCTCTTGTTGAGTCCCTCAGCCACTGGTCTTCAAAAACCATGGAATCACAAAACTCCAGGGGGCTCCTTTGTTCTGGAGCTTCAAGAGTTATTGGGAGTTTGTCTGCTTTTAAAACCTATGCTGTGGGCTGGAGAGATGGCTCAGTGGTCTAAAGCACCTACTTAGAACAAGCTTAGCAAAAGCATCAGGGACCGCGGTTCAATCCCCCAGCACCACATGCCAGCCAGCCCTGCCCCCTGGTGGGCTGAGCTGGCCTCTCTCTCTCTCTCTCTCTCTCTCTCTCTCTCTCTCTCTCTCTCTCTCTCTCTCTCTCAAATAAATAAATAAATAAATAAAATTTAAAAAAAAAAACCTCACACTTCTCTACTTTAAAAAAAAAAAAAACCTATGCTGTGGTTAATGGGCTCATCATGTAGTTTTTTTTATTTTGCTATTATTTGGTACAGTATCCCACCACACAGCTCAAACTCATAGAGATCCTCCTGTCTCAGTGTCCCTGGTGCTGAGATTACAGGGGTGTGCCACCATGCCCATTTTTAGTGGCGAGCACAGCAGCATGGCATGTGGTACCAGGGATCAAACCCGAGTCCTTACGCTTGCCAGGCAGGCACTTAGACCTCAGAGCTACCTCCCCACCCCCCAGGTTATAGTTTTTTGAGAAGTCGTGTGACATTTCTGGTTATCTTTGGGCATGAGAAAATATAAATCCCAATGTCTTGATTCGGCTTGGTCTGCATTCTGGAAAAAATGAATTCCAGAGAGAACCCACATGAACAATAGAAATGAAGGTAGTGGATTTTTTTTAACCCATGCTCTGGACCCATAAAATGGGTGCATCCGAAATTTTCCTTTAATCTGTGCCCTATGATAAATGTGCAGTTACTATTTCAGGACAGAAATGCCTTTCTTCCCGTTGCTGTGTGGACAGGCTGTGTGGTGGCCGCCTGCAGGGACACTGATGGGGCGTGAAGATGGAGTGACAGATGCCTAGAATGAGACTTGGGTATCGGCACACTGTGAGGAAGTCCTAGTGCTGCTGTCCTGAGGAATGTGAAGTGCCACCATGCAGGACGGGCTTGCTCTGTGTGGCTCCAAAAGACACTGCGAAGGTCATTAACAGGAACCTGTGAAGAAGCAGAAATCTAATCTTTGCAAAAAAAAAAAAAATTTCTAAGTGTAACATAGAAGAGTTCACCTTATTAAAACATAAGATCCCCACTTCTAACGCACCCTACAGTAGGTGTGACTCTCCATTGTTTAGAGAAGTAGACTGACCGCTTGCAAGAACATTGGTCGCCCTGGGTTCCCATGGTTATATATACTAATATTCATGCAGGTGTTGGTCAGATAAAACAGTGTCAACTGGCAAATGTATTTTAGATTTTATTTAACTGCCTTGAACTCTTATAAAATTTTCTGTAACACATATCCTCAATCATCATCCCAGAATCCTTCTGAGGTGCAAAGGGATGAGGAGGTATAATTTTCTTCTCATAGCAGGTGGAGAAACTAGAGAAATGGGAACCGGACAGGCACTATCAGCACTGGTGTGATGCCCCTCAGAGTGGAAGCGTTTCGGCACGCTGGTGTGATTTTCGTGTCTGCAGAGGAGGCACATCCTTGTTACAGCGTGGCTCCCAACACAAGCAGGCCCTGCATCTGGTGTTGGGTACAGTTGATATGAACTGCTTCCAACATGGGCGAGAAATTGGTAGTGGTGGATCTAGGGAGAAATGGTGTGCGTTTGTGAGCCTCTTCCTGGGTCATTTCCTGGGAGTTATAACTGTACTCAAATTTTTTTACTGTCTTGTGAAAATACTAAAAAGAATGCATTTATCACATTTTGCAACAAAAAAGGTCTTATAAGGCTTGAGATGTTTTAGGCTCAGGAGTCTGTTTGAGAGCGCCAGGGTGAAGATCAGAGCGTCATCCTTTGGAATCTCACCGTGCTCCTGCATAAGGTGAGCCCTCCTGGTGGCAGTTCCAGAGAAATGGGCCTAAACGTGTTCCTTCATTGACCATGCGTGTGCCTGGCACTTGACAATTCATTTTAATATTTATTGTCACTTATTGTGCTTACTTAATGCAAATCACTGTGAAGGATATAAATGTGACTAATCTCTAGACCACAGTCACCCCTTATGGAAGAACTGCAACAACTTGCCAGGGATTTGAACCTCAGATCAGGGGGCTGGGGAGATAGCTCAGTGGAATACGTGCTTTCCTGAACCTCAGATCAGAACCCGGGTGCTAAGCGCATGCCACTTTGGGGCATCCCACACTCAGGTCTGCTGAATGGTGACTGCAGCACTGCGTTCGCCTTGCCTGGGTGTATCCTGGAGAAGCAGCTGGGATGCTGTGGTTGTAATTTATTGGTTTGTTTTATGTCAAGCTCTCCGATTTCTGGTTCCCAATTTTTTGTCTAAGAAAGAAATTGTACTTGCCCTGTTCCTGGAAACGTGCTGCTTTAATTTATCCAGAAGTGTGCCTGTCACTTGACTGCATCGTTCATATTTTCATGTGATCGTGCAGAAGTGGTGGAAGGACCCAAGATTGGAAGGCAAGGAATAAGCTGCCACAAACGTGAAGCAGGTTGGAGCGGGGTGAGGATGAGGGGACACCTACAATGTACCCTACGTGCCCTTGCGTGGGCCTGTGTCTGCTCGCCCTGCCTCACTGCTTTCAGATGGTATCATGCCTTCTGCTTGGACTGTCCTTCTCCTTTCTCTGGTTAACGCTGGATTTCAGCTCAAGTGTCACTTCCCAAGACAGCCTCAGAATTTTCAGAGCACAGTGGGCCTGTGCCTTGTAGGACTGATTGCAGGAATCCTTTCATAACAGATCTGAAACCCGACATACTGCCCTTCCATGTAGTCTGTTAGTCACACTAACAAGGGCCCGAGTCTTCTATCCCTGACCGGTCCCCAGTACCAGATATAGTCCTTAGCTTGGGTCCTCAGGCACTGGAGTAACGGAGCCCCAGAGGCCTCAAGAGGCCATGAAAAATAGAAGCACAGTGAGAAAGTAGGTGTTCTTCGAGCCCGGGAGGATCACAGAAGTGGCGTTGGAAGAATGAGTGGGAATGGAGAGAGCAAAAGAATGAAGAGCATTTTAGGCAGCAGGTAGCACAGTCATGAAAGTGTTAAGAACTGTGCAAGCATGGTCTAAGAAGTAACATCATGTTGCCTGGCAAAACGGATTGTCAAGAGTGCTGGCCCTGCCCCCAGGGCGTGCTGAGACAGCAATTGAGACTGGCCATGGTGGCACTCACTTGTAATCCCAGCTCTTGGGAGGCTGTAAACAGGCCGATCACTATGAGTCCGATCTAGTGAGACCCTGAACACCCTGGAGACCCTTCCCTAAGATACAAAAAAAAGAAATTCAGTGAGAAATCTCACAAAGGGTAGGGTTATTTCTAGAGCCTAGAAGCAACTTCAGCTTGCCAGAGAGGGACAAAACTGTCCAGCTATGGGAGGACTGCAAGATAGGGAAGCAGACAGAACATCTTGTCCTCAACCAGGGCCTTCCAGCTGGGACTGGACAGCTCAGGACGGCCGTCACTCTGTCAGTATTTTGAAGCTCTCCATTTAGCCTGCACCTGTGGCAAGGTGGGAACTGCATGGCATTTCCTGCATCTAAGTCGATGGTACACTTTGCTCACTGGCCATAGATAGCTTTTCCAACTACTGTAGACATTGCTTCCAAATCCTTCCTTGGTTTTGCCAAGTGTAGACTTTAACACTGGAACTAAAGCAGTGTAAGAAAATGAATATGTGCTGGTTTAAGCCACTAGGTTTGTAACTATTTGTTGCAGCACATATAGAAAATGAAGAGACCTGCTGATCTGATATGGCCCTCAGCTGCAGCCCACCCAGCTTTCCTGAATGATACCAGAGTTGCCAGCATGCTGGCTTCTGCACCTTGCTTTACAGCTTAATTTCACATGACTGTGAGTCCAGTCATCTTCGCTGGAAAAGGATCGCATCACTTCCAAGTAGGTAGTTCTACTTCTTTCCTATTGGAATCCCTTTTTGTTCCTTTCTCTTGCCTGACTGTCCTGGCTAAAGTTTCAAGTAAAATACTGAAGACAAGCAGTTAGAGAGTACGTTGTTCTTGTCCCGGATGTTAGTGTCTCTCCTTTTAGTGTGAGGATGGAAGTGAGTTTGTCATAGATGTTTTTATCAGTCTGAGGTAAGGTCTTTCTATACCTATTTATGTTTTCTTTTTTAAGGTGCATTTTATGATAATATTCACTGTAGGGAATTTATACCTATACAGGATTGTCTCAGTTACTCTTCTCTCATTGCTGGGACAAGATATTTGATATGCAAAATGAAGGAAAGAAAGATTGAGTTTTAACTCACAGTGGTGGTCTCAACCTATGCTCAGCTGGCTCCATAGCAGAGTGGCACATGGCAGAGAACAACCATTCATGGCGGTGGCAAAGAACAAAAAGAGCAAGAGGACCCAGCAGCTCAGCAGCTGCCTGCCTCTCTCCCCTCCTTACACTGTAATGCAGATTACCCACCCGAGGGCCAGAGTGTAGCACTCACAGTCCTAGCATTGGATCAAGAATCAGT